TTGGGACACGAGGCTGCTAGAAAAATAATGGAGGAGAAAGAATTTCTGAGGCGTGAAACACGTTCACTTTTTTATATTGTATATTTCGGAACACTTTCTTTATATCTTTTTTTTTTATTATTATTTAATAACAGTTAAACTAATAATAGAATAAATTCATTATATATTGATAGCATATAAAGTTATAGGCCAAACCCAACAACCGACGAATGTACTAAATGGCCCATACCGACTAAAATGAGGGCCTGAGGGCCCGAAACTCCAACGTAGCATTACGAATGAGCTGTCGCTGAGATGATGTGCTATTGGGTTTGGACAATATTGAAGTTTTTGCTGCAAATGCTAGAATTCCTGTAGCTTCTGCTGGGAGTGCGGTAGATGCGGTGATTTTGTGGGAATGAAGGCTAATTCTGGAAAAGTGATTTTTTTTTTTTTTTTTTAGAAAAAGGATGGATTACCAACATAGTAATCCAGCCAGCTAAATTAAATAAAATTGGTTGTTACAAAAAAAGTACTCATCCCCAACCAAGAATGAGTACCCTAGAATATCAGAGTTTTACAGTAAACTTCACCTAATCTCTTCTCCCACTAGCAATTGATAACAAAATATCATAAACTGTAACCAAAGACCAACATATATACAATTTTTCATATTTAAACCGCAAAAGCAAATTTCTTTTTTGAGCTTAGCCTTCATTCCAGCAGTTCTATCACACTCCCAGCTGTGTGGACAGAAGAATTTCTAGCAATTGAAGAAGTTTTTTTCCTCCTCCTCTCTTGTAATCTAGCTGCACGATCAGACATCTGTGAACCTATCCAAAATTTTGCAAAAGTCAAAATTTTGTTCAGAAGTTCTAATGATCTCCTCTTCTTATTTGAAAAAATTCTATCATTTCTTTCCTGCCAAATACACCATATAAGAGAACAAAGAATCACATCTCTCTCAATATTCCAACTATCATACTTCTCATCCCTCCAATTCTTCCAGATTTCTTTTAAAGAAAATAAATTGAAATCTTTCTTAATATTCAATTTATATTGGACAGATCTTCAAATTGAGTATACAAACTCACATTTAACAAATAGATGAAGATGATTTTCCTCTTCTTTGGAACAAAAACAACACAACACATCCATATGAACTCCTTTCTCTACTAAATTCTTTTGTGTTTAAACCACTTTCTTAAAGCCAACCAAACCAGAAATTTCACTTTTAGAGGAACATGAAGTTTCCAAAGATTTAAGCAGTCATACCTTAAGCCTCCATCAATAAGAAAATGATAATATGATTTAACAGTAAACTTGTCTTTTGCTTCCCAAATCCACTTTCTCTTATCCTCCCTGTGAACAAAATTAATAAGCATAATATTTTTCAACATATCAAAATATTGAAATACCAGATTTCCTCAAGTGCCTTTGAAATTTAATATCCCAAATCCATTCATTATTTAAATTTTTCCTCAAACTGGTAATAGTAGCAAAATGGGATGATGCAATATTATAAAGAGAAGGAAACATAGAAGCCATTGTATTTGTATCTGTCCATTTATCAAGCCAATAAAGAGTTTTATTTCCATTCCCCACTTCTACACAAGTACTGCACAAAAAGCTATCAACATTAATAAAAATATTCCTCCAGAAATGAGATAAGGATCTTTTGTCAGAATAAAAATATTCTGACCAGTTTTTATTCTCAAAATACTTGTAAAAACTTATTTGTTTCCATAAATCCATCTTATTATCAAATCATTTCCAAATCCATTTTTCCAACAAAGCTTTATTCATAATTCTCAAATTTATAATACCCAAACCACCTAACTTTTTGGGTCTGCATAACTCTTCCCATTTAACCAAGTTAGAAGAATTCTTATGCTCCAAAGAGCCAATCCATAGAAATCTTCTCCTCATCATATCAACTTTATTAATGAGCCACCATGGAAATAAGAAAAAAGACATCCAAAAGATTGGCATAGAGGAAAGAACTGCATTGTTTCCGTCGAAAGTCACCTTAGTCATTGATTTCATTAAACTTTAAGCGTTACAAATGAATTCAAATAACAAAAGAAAAAGATTACAACTTTCTTGAAAATAAACGCAAGATCCGTTTATCGGCTCTTGCTTGCGTGGGTTCTTTGCCGGTGCCGGGGTTAATCCGTGGACGACCTCGAATCAGATCCGGTTGCAGAAAATTTGGCAGAGCTTCTACCTCACCAAGGGGGTATTTGCTTGAAGTCCTGGAATCGACAAAGCGATATCAGGGCTCTTCTCGAGATTAAGACAAAGCCTAATCTCAAGGAACGGACGTACGAGCTTCGGATCCTTCGAACGGCTTCTCCTTTGCTCTGAAGTTCGCCGGGATCTCGCTGTCCTTTGCTGAAATTTCGTGCTCCTTCACTCTCCAATCCAGCAGCACCTCGTCCTCTTGATAAAATTCCAGATCCAGAAAATGGAGGCCTTTGGTTCATATTTATAGGCCTCAAAATGCAGTTATTTGGATAAGAACAAGGGATTTGGCTCTATCTTCAGTCAACAGCAGCCTAACCACGTTTGGGGATGATCCCAAGTCAGTTAAGAACCCCTGGAACCGATAAACCCTGCAAAAAACCAATTAAAAACCGTCAAAACGTGTTTGAGACATTAGACTGCGCGGCAGAAAAATCTGACCTGCGCTCGCGCGGGTCGGAATAATCCGACCCGCGCTTGCGCGGGTCGGAAACATCCGACCCGCGCTCGCGCGGGTCGGAATAATCCGACCCGCGCTTGCGCGGGTCGGATTGATCCGTCCCGCGCTTGCGCGGGTCGGATCATTCCGTCCTGCGCTTAGCGCGGGTTCGCCGACGTTCTCCCTTTTTTTTGGTTTCTTTCTTCCGGGACTTGTTCTTGTTGCGTATTCGTTCGATTTTTTGACTTGTATGCTTCGTCGCGAGACCGATCGTCGAACGCGCGTTGGTTAACATACGCGTGTTGATCGATGCGCGCGGGCTGATTGACGTGCGCGAGATGATTTGACGTACGCGCGCTGACCGGCGCGCACGAGTTGGTTGACGTGCACGCGTTTGATCGGCGCGCACGAGTTGGTTTGACGTGCACGTGTTTGACTGACGCGCACGCGTTGATTGACGTGCGCGCGTTGACCGGCGCACACGAGCTGATTGACGTGCGCGCGTTGACTGGCGCGCACGAGTTGATTGACGTGCACGCGTTTGACCGACGCGCACGAGTTGGTTTGACGAATCTTCTTGACTCGCCCATTCATTGCTTCGAGTTTCGTGCGGGCTCTCGTAGACAATTTTAGACGCCTACAGATACCCCCTCCAAAGTGTTTCAGCCTCATTCTTTTATAGAGGAGTCTGAAACGCTTTGGATATGATGGATCCCCACCTTCAGTCGGTGTTAAAGGACCTACAGATGGTTTCGATTCTTGACTTCTCTATACTTTAGCGTATTCTGTATTTTGTCGAATAGCTAAGATTTTCTCGGTACTGCGTTTATCATCTGACCGTTGTTGAAGCCTTGAACCGGAATTGGTGAGGGGATTTTTTTTTGTTGATATGTTATTGAGTTGACTTTTGGATCAATTGCAACGCGTTGACTGGCGTTGACCTAGGGCTACGCGTTGACCGGCGTTGACCTTAGGGTTTCGAATCGATCGACGTTGACTTTCACGCAACGCGTTGACTGGCGTTGACCTAGGGCTACGCGTTGACCGACGTTGACCTTAGGGTTTCGAATCGATAGTTTGCCAGGTTATCCTTAAGAATTATTATCTGTAATATTCTCTAGGAACTTCCCGTAAAAATGGGAAACAGTTTAGACTCATGTACCCGTTGGAGTTTAGATATCGAGATTCGATAAAAGGCGAAAATATCGCGAAATCACCCAAAATATAAAATTGGGTCCCGAATATTCCAAAATAGGTGAAAAATCACGAAATCACCCAAAATATAAAATTGGGTCTCGAATATTCTGGAAATAGACGAAAATATCTCGCAATTATTTGGGAGACGGAATGGAACTCCGAAAATTCCCAATTTGACTGAAAATGCCGCTCAATTATCCGGGAAATGAAGTCGAACTCTGAACATTCCAAATATGAGCAAAAACACCGTGAAATTGTCCAGGAGATGAGGTTAAGCTTCGAAAATTTCGAAAACGGACGAAAACGGACGAAAAGACTGCGAAACGGGCACTGAACTGGGTCTGACCCGCGTTCACGCGGGTCAGATAGATCCGACCCGCGTGATCGCGGGTCGGATTAATCCGACCCGCGAGCACGCGGGTCGGACATCAATCCGTCCCGCGGAACGCGGGTCGGATGGGGGAAAAAACAAATAAAAAAAAAAACCGATGTTTCTTCTTCTTCCTTTATTCGGTTCCAGCTTCCTATGTCCCCAACTTTAGACTTTCGGTTTCTTCCTCATTGAGTCCTAACTCTTCAAGACTTCTTCTTCCTCAAGAATTCCAAACGAAATCAAAGCTTCCCCCTTCTTTAAAACCCCTATTTCCTCCTTCTTCTAATTCGGATTTGAGCAAAAGAGGAAGATTCAAGGCTAGGGTTTCGTCGATTTGAGCTCTTCTTCCCCTTTTAAGCTTCAAGAACTTGGGTAAGTTTTCTTCCTATTCTCTTGCATGTGCCTTGAATTTGTACATGTGATTAAACCCTTGCATATGGTTGCACTCTTGTATATGATTCAAATTCGAACTTGTATATAACTGAGCTCTTGTATATGATTGAATTCATATGTAACTGAATGAATTCGAACTTGTATATGACTCAAGAACCTTATATGCCTTGAATTCGAACTTATACATGACCGAGTTCTTTGGTTGGTCTTTATGACCTTTAACCTGAGCTGAGGATGTCGTATAGGTTTAACTGGACCCTTAATTGGAAAATTCCATTTTGTAGAATTTCAATTAAAGATTCACAATTTCCCTTTCAGTCTCTGATTTATGTATCTTGGTTCTTGATCTGACTGAGCTGTTGATCTTCATTGCAGATTAGCTATGTCGACGATTTGGACCGGCTGGAGCGCGAATTCTGACGGTTATAAGAGTTGAAGACTGCCGGTACTTCAACGTACATAGCCATCCGGATGGAATCTCGTCTACAAGCATGGCGCGACACTCGGGCTTCTACTGGACTTGAGATTCAAACGCAACAAAGTCGGGTGGATCAAATGGAGGCCTTGGCTATCTTGGGGATGGCGAAGGATGACTTGGAGCGTTCACAAGTTGTGATATCCGGAAAATTGGAGCTCTCGAAACAGAAGTTAGCCAAGATCAAACAAGAGGCTGCGAAAACATTATCCCTCACCGAGGAATCCTTCAAGGTTGCATTGCAGTGTGAGCTTGAGCGAACTTATACAGAGGAATTGACTAAACTTGAACAGCAAATCCGTAGTCACAAACTTCATGTAGATTGATTGTAACTCTTGTACCTGCAAACTCAATTTTATTAATAGAAAATATGTCTTTTTATGGGTCCACTTTGGTATACTTAATTTATTCAATTAAGTTATGGGCCCTAATTAAGCTGTGAGACCCCAATTAAGTTTTTGGAAATTCAGTTGATTTAAATTAAAACTTTTTAATTTAAATCTAATTTGGTTTTTAATCAATTATTTAATTCAAATATTATGACACTAAGGTATTAAGGTTGTCTCTCACTCCAATTGATTAATTGAAACAAGAAGTTGCCAAAGTAACCTCTCTTGTGTAGATTGTTCATGAGGAATGTGAGATGTTTGTGTGTATGCTTTCGTGTAAATATTTAATCGGCCCAAAGGAAGGTTAATATTTATTTAGACTGTATACACATCTGCGATGATAAGCGTGTGACAATTATAAGGTTTACATGTGAATAATGAATCGATCCAAAGATAGTTTCATTATTTGACATGAGTTATTGTCAATGTTTGATCATTGCAACAAGGTATCACTTACAAGTTAATATTACTGTCCAAAGACTTGATATTAATGTTGTGCCGGTATCTTGGATGGGGATTGTCATTATTTGAATTTTATTGATTATGGTTATTGATGTGAGCATTTTTGTTTTATTTCAGCTAATGCATCTGCTGCAACAATTTCTGCTAACATCAACTCAATTCCCATGCTAAATGGGACAAACTTCAAGGTTTGGAAAGAGAACATATTAATTGTTCTTGGCTGCATGGATCTTGACTATGCATTAAGAACTGAACAACCCCAACCTCTCAATGCGGATAGCACTCCTGATGCAAAGAAGGAGCATGAGAAGTGGGAGCGTTCAAATCGCATGAGTCTTATGATCATTAAGCGCGGCGTTCCGGAAGCCTTCAGGGGCATAGAATCCGAAGGGATTACTAAGGCTAAAGATTTCCTTGCCGAAATTGAGAAGCGTTTTGCGAAAAACGATAAGGTAGAAACAAGCACGCTTTTAGCTCGCTTGATTTCAATGAAGTATAAGGGCAAAGGAAATATCAGGGAGTACATTATGGAAATGTCTCATATTGCTTCAAAGCTTAAGGCACTTAAACTCGATCTTTGTGACGAGTTATTAGTGCATCTGGTTTTGTTGTCTCTTCCTGCACAGTTTAACCAATTTAAGGTCAGTTATAACTGTCAAAAGGAGAAATGGACTCTAAATGAGCTCATTTCATACTGTGTGCAAGAAGAAGACAGGTTGAAGCAAGATAAGACAGAAAGTGCTCATTTGGCCTATGCCTCTAAGGATAAGGGCAAGAAAAGGAAGAATGATAAGGAAGCTGCTAAGGGTCCAGTTGAGAAGAAACAACATAAGGATAATCAGGGTTGTTTCTTCTGTAAGAAGCCTGGACATGTAAAGAAGGACTGTACAAAATATCACGCCTGGCGTGATAATAAGGGTACGTTCCTTGCTTTGGTCTGTTCTGAGGTTAATTTAGCTTCAGTACCTAGAAACACTTGGTGGTTAGACTCTGGTGCTACTACTCACATAAGTGTTTCTATGCAGGGTTGCCTGAGCTACCGAAAGCCAAGTGATGTTGAAAGACACATCTTTGTGGGCGACGGACAATCGGTAGATGTGGAAGCAATTGGGCACTTTAGGTTGTTGTTAGGAACTGGTTATTATTTGGATTTAAAAGATACTTTTGTAGTACCGTCTTTTAGACGGAATTTGGTTTCTGTTTCTGTATTGGACAAATCAGGTTATTCTTGTTCATTTGGAAACAGTCAATTCAGTTTATCTTTTAATTCAAATGTTGTGGGAACCGGTTACTTGAGTATTTATGACAACCTATATTTGCTTGATACAATTGCTTCTTACAATGAATCCTTGCATGTGGAATCACGTGGTACTAAGCGTAAATTAAATAAGGAAAATTCGGCGACATTATGGCATAAGCGCTTAGGTCATATCTCAAAAGGTAGAGTTGAGCGTCTTGTGTCTGATGGCATTTTGGATTCCCTTGATTTTTCGGACTTCGACGTATGTGTTGAATGTATCAAGGGAAAACAGACCAAAGTGAAGAGATTAGGTGCCAACAGATCTTCGGATGTCTTAGAATTGATACATACGGATATTTGTGGGCCATTCCCTACGGAATCCTGGAATGGTCAACAATATTTTATATCATTCATAGACGATTACTCACGTTATGGGCACCTATATCTTATTCATGAAAAATCTGAGTCTCTGGACATGTTCAAAGCCTATAAAGCTGAAGTTGAGAATCAACTCAACAGAAGAATTAAAACCGTCAGATCTGATCGTGGTGGTGAGTACTACGGTAGATATGATGGTTCAGGTGAACAACGTCCAGGACCATTTGCTAGATACCTAGAGGAATGCGGTATCGTCCCACAGTACACTATGCCGGGTTCACCTAGCATGAATGGTGTAGCTGAAAGACGAAACAGGACTCTTAAGGATATGGTAAGAAGTATGATTGCTCATTCTTCTTTACCAGAGTCACTCTGGGGAGAAGCACTTAAGACAGCAGCTTACATTCTGAATAGAGTACCAAGTAAAGCAGTTGCTAAAACACCTTATGAGCTTTGGACTGGTCGAAAGCCCAGTTTAAAGCATTTACATATTTGGGGATGTCCAGCTGAGGCAAGGCCTTATAGGCCAAATGAAAAGAAATTGGACTCCAAAACAGTTAGCAGCTACTTTATTGGGTACCCTGATCGCTCTAGGGGCTATAAGTTTTATGATCCCACTATAAGGAATATTTTTGAGACGGGAACAGCAACATTCTTTGAGGATGTTGAGTTTGGGGGGAGAAATAAGGTTAGAGACATTAGTTTTGAGGAGGAATTGGCTTCAGATCCAATCCATACAGTTACTTTTGACAATATTCAGGTTCCTATACCTGTTGTTGCTCAAGAAGTAAATCCGGAACCTCAAGATGATAATGTTGAACAACTCCCTGTTCCAGAAGAACAAACTCAACAACCTCAAGAACCAGTGCCATTAAGGAGATCCACGAGAGAAAGGAGAAATGCTATTCCGGATGATTATATTGTATTTCTCCAAGAACATGAGGAAAGTAGTGGAATGTTAGAAGATGATCCAATCAACTTCTCTCAGGCCATGAAAAGTTCTAACTCTCAACAGTGGATTGATGCCATGAATGAAGAGTATAAGTCTATGCAAGACAATAAGGTTTGGGAACTTGTCCCATTGCCAGAAGGTGCAAAACCAATTGGTTGTAAATGGATTTTTAAAACCAAGCGGGATGCAAACGGTAATGTGGAGAGGTATAAGGCGCGTCTTGTGGCTAAAGGCTATACTCAAAAGGAAGGCATTGATTATACAGAGACTTTCTCTCCGGTTTCATCGAAAGACTCTTTCAGAATAATCATGGCACTTGTTGCTCATTATGATCTTGAGTTACATCAGATGGATGTTAAGACTGCATTTCTCAATGGAGACATTGATGAGATGATTTATATGGTGCAACCAGAAAACTTTGTGTCAGGAGACCCAAAGAATATGGTTTGCAAATTAAGGAAATCCATCTATGGACTCAAGCAAGCTCCTCGTCAATGGTATCATAAGTTTCAACAAATAGTTATCTCGTTCGGTTTTGAGATGAACATTGTTGATGACTGTGTATATCACAAGTTCAGTGGGAGTAAGTATATTTTTCTGGTTCTGTATGTGGATGACATCTTGCTTGCCACTAATGATATAGGCATGTTGCACGAAACCAAGAGATTTCTATCAAAGAATTTTGAGATGAAAGATCTTGGGGACGCCTCTTTTATATTAGGGATCCAGATACATCGAGATCGCTCTCGGGGTATTCTTGGATTATCACAAAAGAGCTATATCGATAAGGTACTTAAAAGGTTTGGCATGCAAGATTGCAGACCAGGTGACACCCCTGTTGCTAAAGGAGACAAGTTTAGTCTCAATCAGTGCCCTAAAGGTAACCTTGAAATTCAGGAAATGCAGAAGATTCCTTATGCTTCGGCTGTAGGAAGTCTAATGTATGCTCAGGTATGTACGCGTCCGGATATTGCGTACATTGTTGGGATGTTAGGCAGATACTTAAGCAACCCTGGTATGGATCATTGGATAGCAGTCAAAAGGGTTATGAGGTATCTTCAGAAAACAAAAGATTACATGCTCACATACAGAAAATCAGAGAAATTAGAGGTCATTGGGTATTCGGACTCTGATTTTGCTGGATGCCAAGATAGCAGGAAGTCTACATCAGGCTACATTTATATGTTAGCAGGAGGAGCTATATCATGGAAAAGTGTCAAACAAACACTAGTAGCTTCCTCCACTATGGCAGCAGAATTTGTAGCTTGCTATGAGGCATCCAATCAGGGAATATGGCTGCGAAATTTTGTCACGGGACTGCGCATTTTGGAAAATGTTGAAAGACCACTAAGGTTATATTGTGACAATAAATCTGCAGTAATGTATTCTAATAACAACAGGAGCTCAACTAAGTCAAAACATATTGACATTAAGTTCCTGGTTGTGAAAGAAAGGGTACAGAGTGGACAAATATCTATAGAGCACATTGGGACAAACTCCATGATAGCTGATCCTCTTACTAAG